CCAACATTCTCAATACCGCGACTCATAAAGCCGACTGGAATTTCAACCCTTGGAACTTTAGCCAGTGGTGGTTTGAGTTTCGATTGCCTGGGTGGGGTGGGGGGGCAAGGTGTCAGTGTTCGAGCATGGACGTAACCAGGCAGCATTGAGATTCAGTGACTTGAACTTCTGTTGGGATTATCCCAACACTTCTAGTTATTCAGAGGAAAGTGTGTTCATTGCTGGATCGATCACCTCGAATCATTGGGTAAAAAAAATACTATTGCTACTTGGATAGTTTTAAAACTGAGAAACTGATTCGATCTTTATCTTTTCAAAATCAGTGTTTCAACCACCTTGCACACTCGATCTTGCACTCTCCTGACAGTTTTGAACGTTGTACATTGTAAATGGATGTTTTGATTGATGGAACAGCCCCTCAGTCCTCAAAGTCTCACATCATGCCCTTGAATCTGTCAAAGAGGCAGCTCTTTGGGTGAGATTTAATAAGAAGAATCATCCTTTCATTTGATATAGCGCCTTATCTCGTTGTTGAGATTGTATATTGTAAAGTGTATTTTGTGGAACAAAAAAAAGTGGCCGCCAGTTGCTCACAGTAGTGTCCCACAAACAGTCGTGGATTGAGTGACCACATGAATTTTTAAAAAAAATTTGAGTCAGGGTTAGATCCCCCAGAAAAGCGATTCGGGTTCTGATTTACTGCTAGGTAAACCAAGGCGCATGGAGTAAGGAAGCCTGCCTAAGGTTTCGCCCCATCCAGGAATCAAATCTGGGTCCTCTTGCTTGTGAGCTGAGTGTGCTAACCACTAGGGGACTCCATTTGATTTGGAATGCAAAGAGGGAACCGGCAAAGCGGAGGGATTACATGAGAGGGCAAAGTGGCTGAAAGCTCTCCTGTCAATGTTCAGGGGGTGCAAGCAAAAAGCATGGAGCAGGTGTGAGTTGGAGGAGCGAAGGAGTGGTGGACGTAGGGACAGAGGATTGCAGAGACGGGGTTATGCATGAATATGGAGGTCTTTGCCGGTGAGGCTATACAGGTTGAAGGTCACCTGCGTGCATGTTGAAGTGGACTTCATCCTGGCAGATGATGTTGCCAAAGGGAAGCTGGTAAATTCTGAAACATAGGACAGGGCACTGCATGGACATTGGAAGGAGAAGCTATGAGACCATCCTCTTTCGTGGTTTGGATACTCTTAAGGGCTCGATTCCCAGGTGGGATGAAACCTTAGGAGAGTTTCCTGACTGCACACGCCTTTGTTTACCCAGCAGTAAGTTGGAACCTGGTTGTTAGTTGATTGGCGGATTGCTTCCCAGGGGTAATAATCCCTTCAAAAAAAATTGGTCACTTACTCATGGGTGTTTGTGGGACGTCTCAATAATATAGTGCTATATCAAATGCAAGGATTATTATTATAGGATTATTATTATCAAGCACAGTGATGGGTTTCTGCATGTGGCAGTCACACGGCTGATCAAAAAGGAAATCCTGATGTGTATTTTTTGCCTTCGCTGAGCACAGCTGTGAAGCATTCTCATCACCTGGCAGGACCTTTGGTTCAATTGGTTATACAATTGTACAATATTATTGCAGCACCGAGACGCTTTCAGATATTTTGACAATGCAAATCACACCAAATCAAACACTAAATCAATTGCAGGGTTTTTTTTATTACAAAGCGCTTCATAGGATCTTACTGTTAAATATAGTGAATGTGCATTTGTCCGCAAATGCATCTCAGTGCAGTCTGTGTTTAATTAAAACTGTGTGACGAATGGTTCAGTCAGAACGGTCAGGAGGTCAGATTCCTGCAAATGCTTGTTGTCTCCCCTTTAATCAACTGCAGTTTTAATTAAAACCTTTCCGTCCATTAGTTTCTCTCTCTGTTGAGCTGCTGCAAAGGACAATACAGTATCTTGATGCATGGCTGTCACCTTTCACTAATCGATGCTGTGTCCTGATCATCTTTACGTGACATTTGAACAGCCATCGTGACTGTTGACAACTCAGCCTCTATGTAGAACCTGGCAGAGGGTTGGATCTTTTGAAGAAGAGGAAAAAAACAAAAAGAAATGTATCTCTTTTGCCATTGGATTGCGATAGGAATGCACAGGCGAATTTAAATCCATTGCTACAAAATCCATTGCTCTGTGCATCTCAGAAACAAACGTGAGCACTCAGCCTGAATGAGACTTCAGTTAATCACCATCGTTGCACCCACACAATGTCAGGATGTACTGTACTGACATCATTAGTGTGGCTCTTACTGTGGTCTGGCACTGGGCCAGCAGTTTACTCCCAGCAAACCAGTGGGTTTACCAACTCACTCTTGTTTTTTACCGACCCCAGCCATATCCCAAGCTTGACTGTCTTTGTAACCATTTTAATATATTTTAAAACAATATATTTTTGTGTATCGCCCACAAAATATACAATCAATTCACTTTACTGTATATTCTGTGAAGCGCTTTGAGACATCTTGAAGACGTGATAAGGCAAATGTCAAATGCAAGGATTATTATTGTTATTATTATTAAAAGCAGGTCCAGCAAGTGAGCTGTTTGAACGAGGCTCGAGTACAAATGGGGTAGATTTCAATCACAATATTTCTCCAAATTAAATTTGTAAAGGCGCTGGACGGTCAGTGTTTCGGACCCGAGCTAGAGGACGGGATTGGGGAGGGTGGAGGGCAGGGGTGAAGGAGGGTGATCGAACGCACGGTCGACGAGGAGGGTCTTGAGATGCATCTTGAAGGAGTCAAGGGAAGGGGCGAGGTGGAGGGACTGTGGGATGGAGTTCGAGAGGGTCAGGGCAGAGTGGCAGAAAGCCCGCCCGCCAAAAGTGGGGCGAGCAAGGCTGGGGATGTGAAGCAGGCTGGAGCCCGCTGAGTTGAGGGAGCGAGCAGGATGGTAGGGGCTTAGGAGGTCGCAGAGATAGGTGGGAGCAAGACCATGGAAGGTTTTGAAGTTGAGGACCAGGATCTTGAACTAAATCCTCTGTGTGACGGGAAGCCTGTGGAGGCAGACGAGGAGAATAGGGTCATGGGAGCCTGGTGCGGGAGAAGACATGAGCTGCAGATTTTTGGATGATCTGCAGCCTATGGAGGGAGGAGTTGGGGAGGCCGACAAGCAAGGAGTTTGCATAGTGAAGCCTGGATGTTATGAATGTTTGTATGAGGGTTTCGGGGTTACATGGTGTCAAACAATGGTAGAGCCGGGCAATGTTTCGGAGGTGGGGGAAGGTAGAGCGGATCATGGCACGGATGTGGGGTAGAAAGAATAGTTGAGGGTCAAACAAGATGCCAAGATTCCGGACTGGTTTAATAAGGTGGAGTGTGCATCCTTGATGGTGATGATGTTGATGCCTGAGGTGACTGGGAGAGGGAAATTGGTGAATGAGAGGAGAATAGGGAACAGAAGAGGGGAAAAGGTGAAGAGAAATAGAGAATAGGAGAAGGGAAAAGATGAGGAGGAGATAGGACTCTGGAATTGAAGAAGGTATGGGAGAGTTGGAGGCTTGTGTGGAATATAAGTTGGGTGGAGGTGGATTGAATGGCCTGTTTCCATGTAACTAACTCTGTGTAACTTATCGAGGAGTGTAAGCAGCCTGCTTGACCGCAGGGGGGGTGGGAAGACGCTTTGCCAAATGAAATCGGGGTTGGTTCCTCAGATAGTCGTCCGAGCTGCTTCTCCTACTCTCTCTCTCCTCCAATCATAAATGGCACACACTCACTCTGCCAGGACTTTTCATGTAGGCTGCCAGCTTACCTGGGAAATAAACACTTGTGCCTTTCATTGCAAGATAACATCAGGAAGAATTGATAGACTGCAATCCCATTGCCGCCCAAAATATATTTCAACCTTTTTGTTCAGAGGGTTTCGAAAACCGTGAGGAAGGGTGTGAGGCATAGATATTTTGAGAGGGGGTTTTACTGTTGGGGTGGGGTGGGAGGAATAACAATAATAAGTCTTACATTTTATAAAGCACCTTTCACGAAGGGAGGAAATCGCAAAGTGATTCACAGAATGTACTGTGAAATAAGGTGATAGAGTGTTTTGTGGGTAAATGTGCCAGTCAGCCAACATGAGCCTCGGTATCACACTCATTCAAAGGAAGGCACCCCCAACGCTGCATTCCACTGTCAGCGTAGACCAGGGTGGTCCAACCTTTGGTTGCTGACGACCGGACGCCAGGTTTGAGAAACATCCACGGGTTTCATAAAGCAATATTTTTGCATTTCCCTTCCAGAAACACAGCCGTTAACAATCATATAGAAATTCTATGATTTAAATTGTGTAACCGTATTCTTAATTTTGTTAAATTTCTGTTACAATGCAAAACTTCGATAGGCAATGTAAAAGTGCATAAAACTTTTAAAACAATAACACAGCCAGTGATGAGATATCTGTCTGTGTCTCTCTACATCAGTGTTTTTGTCTGTGTCTGTCTGTCTATCTGCTCTCCAGGACGCTACTCCACATGAAGGGCACTATATGAATGCAAGTTGTTGTTGCTGTCTGTCTGTGTGAATCTCTGTATCTCTCTCTCTCTCTGTCTGTCTATGTGTGTCTCTGACTCTGTATCTCTCGCTTTCTGTCGAATGATCAAGAACATGAGGTTTTGATTTGCTTTTCGCAGAAGCCCACACAGAGCTGAGTGCAAAATTTGTAGGAAAGCCATCTATGAGATTGCAACAACAAAATTACATTTGTATAGCGCCTTTCACGTTGGGAGCACTTCCCCAGGCACTGGACAGACAGTTTCGGACCCGAGCTGTGAGTTGGGATCGGGCAGAGTGGAGGGCAGGGGGGGGAAGCAGGGTGATTGAAAGCACAGTCGAAGAGAAGGATCTTGATATGGGTCTTGAAGAAGGCAAGGAAGGGGGCAAGGCGGGAGGATCTGCAGTAGTGATAAAGGCGCAAACTGCATTTTTGGGTTAATCTGTTCTGAAAATTGTTTCAGTGTTTTTATTCAGAGTCTGATTTTTCTTTCTTGTCCTCAGCTCTGCATGCCCAAAGGATTATCCTTCCGGACCCAGGCTGAGAACAGAGATCCACAGTTCCATTCGTTCATCATCACCCGTGAGGATGGCTCCCGCACCTACGGGTTTGTCCTCACCTTTTACGAAGAGGTGACCTGCAAGCAGATCTGCAGCGCCATGCAGACGCTTTACCAAATGCACAATGTGGAGCAGTGCAGCAGCATTTATGCCTCATCCTCCTGCAGCATGGACTCACTAGCTAGCAGCCTCGACGAGGGCGATACCACATCCCTGGCCAAGCTGCAGCGTTACAACTCGTACGACATCAACAGGGACACCCTGTACGTTTCCAAGTGCATCTGCCTCATCTCCCCGCTGCCCTTCATGCAAGCCAGCCGCAAGTGTCTGACGCAACTCTACAAAGCCGTGGCTTCCCAAAAGCCACCACCTCTGCCCTTGGAGAGCTACATCCACAACATCCTGTATGAAGTGCCCCTTCCCCCACCCGGAAGGTCGCTGAAGTTCTCCGGGGTGTGTGGGCCAGTGGTTTGCCAGCGGCCCGGGCTGAACGAGCTGCCGCTCTTTGATTTCCCGCTGAGAGAAGCTTTGGAGCTGTTGGGTTTGGAGAACTTGGTCCAGCTGTTTACCTGTGTGTTGCTGGAGATGCAGATCCTTTTGTACTCGCAAGGTGAGCCCGGTTAGCACCGTGACTGTGCTGAATTGCAGCATTGGACGCATCACACATGGATACATGCATGCTGGATGCCTCAGTGATGTGTTTCTAAGATGAGCCTCAGAAATGTGCTGGCCACAACCTGTAGCTTTTAAAATGGGTTTGAACCGCCAAACCTTCTCCATCCATCTATTTATCTCCATCTTTATCCTTCGCCTCCAACCTGACCCTGAGGGCATGGCTGGGTTCAAGGTGCAGTGACTTGAATGTAAAGTTAAAAAGCTGTACTCATTAGCCAAGAGAGGTCACTTTTCATCCCCTACCTTCCCCCTCACACAAACACACAAACATACACAGCCCCACACATAACCCACACCTCCACACACATACATCCCCCTCCACACACACACCCCACATGCACACCCACACACCCTCTCACATATACAACCCCACACATGCACATACAACCCCACGCACACCCCACATGCACACATACACCCACACACACCCCACCCCCACATATACACCCCACCACACACACCCCACACATCCACCACGACGCACACACACCCCCATACATGCACATACGTCCCCCGACACACACATTCATACAACACGCATAAACCCTCCCTCCACACACACCCCCACACACAGATACATCCCCCCACATACAAGCATATACACCCTCCCACAGCCCCCACCACAAACATCCCTCCCAGACACACATGCAAATACACATCCCACATACACACTCCCGCACATGTGCATACACACCGCCCACATACACATACACCCGCCACACACGCACGTACATCCCACACACACACACTCCTCACACCATATACAGCCCCCACAACCCCTCCCCACAATCCCTCCCCACACACACTCACATATGTATATACACACCCACAAATCCCCATCACGTGATTGAGACATCTCAAAGCACTTCACAGAATATATTGTAAAGTGGATTAACTGTGTATTTTGTGGGCGAAATGCGACAGCCAGTTGCACACAGCAGTATTCCACAAACAGTGGATTGAGTGACCCAATTTTTTTTTAGGGATTATTGCTCCAGAAAGTGATCCACCAATCGACTAAAAACCGGGTTCCTACTTACTGCTAGATAAACAGAGGCGTGTGCAGTAAGGAAAGTTGCCTAAGGTTTTACCCCGCCCGGGAATCATATCCAGGTCCTCGCTTGTGAGGTGACCGCAGTAACCACTACGCTACGGGATTCCATGTTGGAGCTTGTCCAGATGAGATTCACTGTATCAATAAAAAAACATTGTGGTTTGTACTTGGTGAGGTTTGGGAAGGAAGAATTGAGCACTTCATAGACTCATAAAAGGTTTGTTACACAAAAGGAGTCCATTCAACCCACTCTGTCTGTTCTGTCTGTCAGCTCACTGACACATTGCACTCTTTTCCCATTCTCCTGCTTTTGTTCCCTGTACCATTCCTTTGCTGTTTCTCCTTGTCCTTCAGTAGTTTATTTCCTCACCTATTTAGCCAGATTCCTTTCAAATGCTGTTTTGGGTATAGTTTCGACAGCATTCCACCTTTCCAAAAGGAGACAAGGTGACACACACTGCTTTCCACAGGATCCTGCACGTGAGCCTTGCACAGTAAATTCAGTTCATGTCTCGTGATTTAGTAAACGACAAAGATTGCAGCAGCATCATGCAGCTCAGCAGGTGGAGTTTTATACCCCACATGTAAACGGGACCACAGAGCTGAATTTAACTCCTCAATGCTCAGCATCTGGGTCTTAGCGGCGAGAAGGCCAAATCGTAGAATTAGGAAGAAATCAATTAGGAAAAATTACGATATCATTCTAGCCACTTCACCTCGTGTGCAACTGATACTGTGGCATGCATTGATTGTGCTACAGCAATGATGGTTTCAGTCCTGAGTCTGTCTGTCCTGTTGAGTAGCTTATTGCTGGAGATGTCTGGTGGGTGGCATTGCAGGAGGTGGAAGGCAGTCACTGGAGGGAAGGGTATTCAGCAACAGTCAGGATCGTTCAATGCTCACATTGATTTTGGATGAGTTTCACACACCCTGTTCCACCCCCATCATCTCCCACCCCCAGATCAGGCACCTCAGCCATTATTAAGTGCCTTGGGACGACCTCCCAACTTTTAAGACGCTGTATAAATGTAAATTTGAGTTGTATTAAGGTTTTATTGATTTTCCGCGGCCCATTTAATGTCATGCAAAAAACGAGTGCAAATGTCATTGCATTAAATGGGCCGTGAAAAGTATGGTCCTGGTGTATAGCGATGATACCATAGGGAAGAGAAAGGAATTGGTCTATCCAATCTGTATAGTTGTGGAACAGAATAAACCTCCCTTGTTTGTGTTCAGCCCTAAAAGTGTTTGGCACCTCTTGTTGTATTGGGATTGCTGTAACCTAGGGTTGGTGCACACTCAGGAAGTTAAAGACAACAGGGTCTTGAGATCCTTGCTGATCTATGTGTGTGCTAACTATCACTGCAATCTTCAGGGCTATACTGCAGAATGAATGGTGTTTTGCTTGCCAGCCTGCAGAGCTTGCCCACTGAACCAGCTCATGGTCTCATAGCAACCAGCTTGAAGTAGAGCAGCACTGTGTCCTTCGAAAAGGTTGATCCTCAAAAAGACATGTCCCAGAATTGATCAAAGTAAGTTAACAGCACAGAAGGGGGCCATTCAACCGACGTTGTCTGAGCTGCGCTTCCCCGCTGGAGCAGTGTGCTCCATTTCCCTGCTCTTTCCCTATATCCAACAACAACAATAACAAATTACATTTGTATAGCGCCTTTCAAGTCCCAAGGTGCTGGACAGTCAAGGCTGAGCTGGGAGATGGAATCAGAAGAGGTGGAGGGCAGGGAGGGTTTGGTGTAGGAGGGTGACGTACGGCATGGTGGAAGAGTTTTGAGATGGGCCTTATAATAATAAAATAATAATCTTTGCATTTGATATAGCGCCTTATCACATCATCGAGACGTCTCGAAGAGCTTCATAGAATATACTGTAAAGCGAATTGACTGTATATTTTGTGGGCAAAATATAGGATTTCAGGACTTTGAAGGAGGCAAGGGAGGAGGGCGACGGGACTCTAGGGTGGAGTTCCAAAGGGTGGGTGGCAGAAAAGCTGAATGCCTGATCACCGATGTTAGCGCAGGCAGGTTGGGGGACATAGAATAGGCCAGAGCCTGCTGAAGGTGAAGCCACATCCTTCTTGTTGTTTCAGTTATTTATCCAATTCCCTTTTAAATACTATGATCTTATTACTATCAGTAAAGTTAAAGTTTTAGCTTTTTNAAAAACTTTTTGTTGATTTATTACAGCACAGCTAAGAAGCAAACAATAACTTCCCCCTGTTACGGGTGATATTGAGCCAATAATCCAACACCTACCTCTTTGTCTGTGCTTTCAGTAATCTATCCCCAACCCTTGGCTCTCACCACTAGCCAGGGCCAGGACTGATAAGTGCTTTGTGATCTTCATGAGGTGACAGGTGCTGGTTAAGTTTGTATTTTATTATAAGTTGTTGGATAACACCAAATCTCTATTTGAAGTTGCAAACGTCTCAGCCACCGGTTGCCACTTTGTGAAGCCTTATCGAATACAAATTCCATCCCCTGTGCATAACATAAGAATTGCTGGACGAAAAAAAACAAGGTCACCTAGTTTGCCTTCTACTTTCCTGGTAGTCGCATGCTACAATAATTGAGCTGTTGATAATAATTAATTCTGTATGGATTCATTTACAACAGAGTGGAAAGCTTTGGGAACCTTAGAGCCAAAGTTGCCTGGTTCTTCCAATTATATGTGAGACCACCGTTGTTGGGGGAGAAAAACAACTTCTTGGCCCCTAACCTAGATTTGTTAATTCAGTTACAAGAAAAGTGTACAGTGAGGGGATCAACAAGACAGAAAAATTAATGGCATTGAAATAGGAATGTGGAAGATAAACAGACTTTACAAGATGATAAAAAAAAATAGAATCTCTTGGGAGAGTGCAAGAATTTGCTGAGATTTGTTAAAGAAAAGCCATCAGAAGGGCACCGGACTGCGGGGTACCTTCTGTCAACATCAGAACAGGGAAAGAATGGTTTGAGAGGAAGTTAGAACTCCGGCACAGAAACAGTTTAGATTCCTGAATGAATCGAGTGTGGAATGAATCACTAAACAGTCACGTAATTGGCACCTAATCCTTACAGATCATCCAACGCTTTAGACAGAAAATATATTTTAATCAATGCCTGGAGTGCTTTGATTTTATTTGAATGGATTGGAACTAAATGCTTCCCCTGTTTGTTAAGCATTGGGTTTTCTCAGTTGCCCTGTTTGTGGCAAAGTAAGACTGGTGAGAGTTTTCATGTCACAACGGTGGGGGACTTTGATTAACCTGATTTGCCTTGCGCAAGGCGTTAGTGTCAGTCGAAGAAGCGCATCACACATGGAGCGGAGAGGAATGACACTGATTTCACGCTCTCATGGGATTTGATGGGTGTGACGCACTTTGTTAGTTCATTTCAGACTTTAACTTTGGGCTGTGTTCATTTAACTTGCAATTACTCATTGCAATGTCATGGCAACCATAGCATGACCACAAGCACTGAACAATGTTTGAAATGAATCCTCTTACACTTATCACATTTTATGATTTAGCTAATTAAACATATTTGTCTCCAAAGGAAGCAACCAGATTATTGCTTGGACCCTGATTAACCGATTGGAGTGTTGAAGCAATTGCAAAAAGAGCCAGATTTGAGACTTGTTTTGAAGATCTCTGTGTCTGAGACTAAAAGGCTGAAGCTACTGCAGACTGACTAGTGTTTTCACCAATCCCACCTTGAGCAAGGACAAGCAGTCTCGTACTGGAAACAAAATATTTTATGTGCACCGTGTTTTTAATGCCTTAACTTTCAGCACATTAACCCTTTCTTCCTGAGTCAATGGATTGGCAGTGTGACCCACACACTGGAAAAATAGTGAGAGCACATCTTCCGACTGTGCATACT